ATAAAGTTCGTTCCACTTCATGATTGTGTCCCACCTGTTCATTCTTCACAAACATGTTTTATCGTTTGCTTTGAAGCCTGAGGGAGGGAGGGAGGGAGGGAGGTAGGGAGGTCGGTAGGTAGGTAGGTAGGTAGGTAGGTAGGTAGGGAGAGAGGTAGGGAGGGAGGTGGGTAGGTAGGTAGGGAGGGAGGGAGGTAGGTAGGTAGGGAGGTCGGTAGGTAGGGAGGTAGGTCGGTAGGTAGGGAGGTCGGTAGGGAGGTAGGTAGGGAGGGAGAGAGGTAGGGAGGGAGGTAGATAGGGAGGTCGGTAGGTAGGGAGGTAGGTCGGTAGGTAGGGAGGGAGGTAGGGAGGGAGGGAGAGAGGTAGGGAGGGAGGTAGATAGGGAGGTAGGTAGGTAGGTAGGTATATGCAGTAGTTTTCAGGTTCCGATGTGCATTACCGATAATAAATAAAAATCATTAAAAACGCAGTGTAACTGTGTCACAGGATGAATGTTTGTGACTTTGACAGGCTGAGGTTCAGCCGCGCTGCGGTCGGGTTGTCGGCTTCGGAGCGGGAAAAGAAAACCCTCATGGTGTCCGAGCCATCACTAAAGGTCAGAGATGTGCCATGGCTCTTTGGTTCACCTTGGATCCCACTCATGAAGAAAAGGTAATAATTGTTCTTCTCACCTGACTTTGCTCAGAATTAGCAGATAAAAAGTAAAACAGATGTTTTTGTTTGATTTGGCCTAAACTAAACTTCTCTCAATGTGTCTCTTCTAACTACTAGGAGAGAATCCAGGCCCAGCAGTTGCTCAACATGTTTTCATCTCCTATAAATGCTCAGTTCGTCCATGAAGCAGCAAAGGATGAATCTCAGGTGACAACAGATAAACGAGTAAAGACAGCGGACATTGACGCGCATGCTGGACAATCGGCTGATCAGCCAAAAGGCGTTACTGAGAAGAAAATGACCACTGAAACAGCAAAAGAGGAAATCAAAGATGGAAAACAAATCAAAGTTACTCCTTCTAAGGAGAACTCGACTCCATCATTAGAGGAGGAAAGAGAGAAAGACGAGCTGTGACGTTTGCATGTGTGAATGTTTTAAGGTTATAACTAAAATTTTTAGATTTTATAAAGTTCTTTTATGTAAATGGTTGAATAAATGGAGGTGGTTTGTTTCAAAATCTTGCTTTCTTTTATAATTTGTTTGGGATCTTTCAGACCAAAATGTTGGAACAAGTAAAGTTCCTCTAACAAACAAGACAGGAAAGGATCTCAGCGTGACTTTCCACACATGTAGGGGGGAGACGCAGTCGTGTGTCATCAGGGTGAACGGCAGGGGGCTCAGGACGCAGCTCTGAGGGGAGGGGCTTAGACTGATGACATCAGAGGTGTTCTGACTGAGGTCTGTTGGTGAGGAAGTCTAGCAGCCAATAGCAGAGGGGTGTATTGAAGCCCAGCTGTTCCAGTTTGCCCATCAGATGCTGTGGGTATGATGGAGCTGAAGCGTTTCCACAGGAGGGAGACCAT